CAAATAACAGATGAGGTAGTTTAAATGTTCACATACTCGTATTTGTAATGAAATTGTGACCAGTGCTATTGAGCATTTAGCATAATAATCCTATTATATATTCATTTACCGTAGAGCTTAAAATTTTTGTGGGTCAATATTTTCGTGGTTTGCTCCTAGTGGGGCAATTTGTGGTTTAATTTTCATGGTTGACAGTTTACATAGCCTGTAAGGGGATGGCACTTCAATGATTTCCTGTGTTTAAATTTTATGGGAAGCCCCCAAAACCACGAGTTTACCGGGTATTCCACAAAAATTTCAAACTATACTGTATCTATTTAACATGTTGCCGGAATTTGATGGTGGAATATTATCAGTTAGTAGTATATTTATACTTTATTGTTCTCATCTCTCTCCTTCTATCCTTTCTTTCATTTTCTCTCTTGTAGGGGCTTGTAGCTTTAAAAGACTCTCATGTATTTAATGTAAGTAATGTAATGTAATGCTTTGAAATCACCCCAAATTTTTATTACATTTTCTGATACACATTCATGTCCTTATGCTGTGTAGAAAGTTTCAGCTGATTCTGTAGTTAAATTGAGAGAAGAAAGGAGGGTACTATAGGGGGTAGACCAGGATTTCGAGATCATTTTAAGAGCAAAGAACTGCACTGAATCAATAGAGGAGGAGAGAGAGACTGAAGATGGGTCCCAGATTGGAGACCCATACTCAAGAATGGGACGGACATTGGTGGTATAGAGAGATAATAGAGGAGAGAGAGTAGAATTGACAGTAAATTAATAAAGTAAATTAATTATACAGGTAATATGCTTAGACCAGGAGAGGTTACAGGAGAGAATTAAACCTAGGTACTTAAAAGAGTAAACTCTCTCAATAGGAACATTCGATAACAGCAGAGAGGGAAGAGAGTGAAATGACTGTTGATACTTCAGTGAAAAGAACATGTACTGTATACTGCGATATTTTCACGTCGCAAAATTTTCGCAAATTTTGCATTTGTAACATTTCATGAAATAATATTTTCGCGAATAGTTTGTAAACTCCACCACATAGCAATGTAAATTCAGAATTTCATGATTTTATTTTTGCGATGGAACAAGAAAACGCGAAATCCGAGAAAATTTGGCTACTCGAAAATTTCCCAGTATACGGTATTTGGATTTGGATGGGTTTACAGAGAGACGATTGGAGTAGAACCAGGAAGTAAT